ACCTCATCGGGACTCGAACACGCGACCTTCCGGCTTGTAGCATAGTGTCTCAACCAACTACTCTAACGCATACCCCCACACACTAAATATCAGGATTATAAATTATAAGACTGCAGATATACAAACAATTATATGGATTGATGCTGAGAATCAAATGTGTGCAAATTTATCGAAGTTTTTACATGACGGTCTCTAAATGTTACAGCGTAATATGACCACTTTACCTTGTACGTGGCGAGATCTTCCACGACACACGCGAGTGTCGCCTCTCGGGCCACGGGGACCGTCACGTTGTTGATGGGCTGTCCGAACTTCGGTACATCTGAAACAAACAAAAAGAAACTCTCGTCTTCAACTCGAATAGGAAACAAGGAAAATTGATTTTATTTCTAGCTCAGTTCAACTATCAGACAAGCGAAGTCATGTAATTTCCAGATCACGTCTTATCTTCGACTTTCACGTACGTTGTTGCACCACACTGTATGGGGAAATTTCTACTGTGCCTTTCTCGTATTTTCATCCACGTACATAATCGCCTTCGGCATAGCTTATCCCATGCGTCCCACAGGAGCAGAACTGATTTCAGTTACTATGGAACTAGCGCGGATCTCGTTCGGTGTGTGCGCCTCTTTCACGGAACGCATCAACCTGACAGATATCATGAACGAAACCGACGCTGGTACAGAAAGAAGAGTAGATACGGGCCATCAAAATACCTAGCTACATAGCCTCTCTCAACGTCTGTACGTGGTGTCCAGCTTCTTTCTAATATAACTGAAACATTAAATTCGAAATAAAAGATACGGAATTCATTCATCTTTCAAAGGCTATCTAAAAAGATATAATGTGCCCTAGATAGAAAATTTAAAGAGACATTTTATCAAGAAATATAGAATACATAATGAGTGGTTTCACACTTTTTACTATACCAAATATTTTTAAGGCAAACAACTCAAGGAGCATGAGATATACTAGGAATGCAGCACGCCTTGAACAGTTGAGAAACGCTTATAAAATCTTAGTATGTAAACTTCCTAGACAATTCTGAAGAGTTGTAAATAGATGGGAATACTGCATTCAAACTGTTCTTAAAGTAATAATATGTGAATGTGTAGTTTGGATTCATCTGGCTTCGGATAGATAGCAGTGATACGCTCTTGCTAACACAGTAATGAGTCTTCAGATTCCGTTGAAGTTCTAACTACCTGAGTGACTAACAGCTTTGCACGTTGAGTTCAACCTCATGGAATTTGTATATATATTTTAGCGACCTGTGTTAATAAGGCACACTATGGAAGTAAGGTTCATGACCCAAAATAAAGATGTATTTTTTCAGGAAGGTCTCTCTTATAAGAAGTGGTAAAATTTTATCGCCTTTCTAGATTCCAATTTGAGTACAACAGTTACTTTAATGGTAATTGGCCGTGCCATAGCTCTAGCGTTTAGTCGCTGGTTTCCCACCGCGGGGCCCGGGTTCGATCCCGGGGTCTGGTGAAGTGGGATTTGAGGTGGACAAATTGGTGCTGGAGCAGGTTTTCTCAGAGTACTTCGGTTTCCCCCAGCCAATCTTCATTCCACCAATTTCTCCACAATGACCCTCACCTATCATCTGGGGCTGGTACAATAGGTCAGAAGTGGCCGCAGTACAAGGGACTTAGTCCCACCCCACTAGCAATAAAAAATAATACTTTAATGGTGTGTGTGTGTGTGTGTGTGTGTGTGTGTGCGCGCGTGAAACAGGAGTAGGATGCTCATTGTGGTGTCTCTTATACCACGTTCAATTATTTCAATACAGTTAAATTTGAAGTTCTCAAGGTGGTGTCTATGAAAATTGTTGTCTTCTAACAAGCAATTCCGTGTTGTTTGGCAGATATGTAGGTCATCGCGTCCCAGAAGATAGCAATCTTCGATTTCAATACAGTTCGTACAAAACAGCCACAAAAAGTTATTTACGCTGCCCAAATGGATGCCAGAACACTGTTCGTGCTACGTGAAATGTTGTGTCAACATATGTAAATTGAAAAAAGACATTTATAGACCTTCAAGTACGAGTAGTTTTTGCGTGTCTAATAGTCAGAAGAAGAAGAGTGAAAGTTAATTTCGCCCTTTCGTGTATGCAGACAAAGGAAGTGCCATGGTAGAGTAAGGATCGAGCGACAAGCTTTAAGTTGGAAGTAGAGGTCCACATTTCTGAATATATGAATCCATAAAGTAAAGTACAATAAGATCATAACCGTTATAATGACTATTAAACACAACCACTTTATGGAGAGGACGGTCCCAAATTTCACACCATGCAAAAAAGAAATAAACAGCAACCCTAGTATGAACATTCACACTAAGGTCTACAAAGACTAAGGTTGTCACAGCTAATAGATTACTCAGCTCGGTTTAGTAAATAAAGTATTGTGTAATACCTTTCTTTCGTCTGGTAGGAAGACCGGCTACATTGTACTAATTTCTAACCTAAAATTATTGACTTTATTGTTCTTTTTATAATTGCTACGCTTAGGGGTGTTCATTATTGCAAATTTTTAAGATTACAATTTTCTCTTTTCAACACGTTTCATAATATCAACTGCTCTTATCACTCCCAAATTTCTGAAAGTTTTTCAACTTCTTAAAATTTAAAAAAATTAAAAAAAAAATGAAAAATATCTGGTGCTTTCCTGGAAAGTGTTCAGACACAATATTTCATGTTCAAATATACCAAATTACGGATGTTATTCTTTGTATTAAATATGAAATCATGCTTCGTAAGATTTTAGAAGTCTTGAAACTAATCAGATCTAAAAGTTCGTGACGATGGTACATTGCTACACGTACACTATTGTTTTTCTGAATATTATTCATCGTTCTGTCTATTTTTTAAAAATTGTCTTGTTCATTTCTCAAAACACCGTTTCGGAGACTGGATTCCATCCCTGTCCTCAGGTAAAACATACTCACTTTAGCCCAGCAGACAGAGCTAGCCCGTATCCCTGTCGTCCGGGCATAGGGACTAGCTCTGTCTATTGGGCCCTACTGAGTAGGTTTTACCTGAGGACGGGGATAGAATCCAGTCTCCGAAAAGCTGTGTTTTGAGAAATGAACAAGACGGTTTTTAAAAAATAGACAGGATGATGAATAATGTCCAAAACCATAATACTTGTAGCTTGAGACCAATAATTTTCCGATAAGTCGATTGCGCATTTCTGAATGATAAATGGTTGATAGATGAAACACATTGTTCGGGTAGCTACAGAAAAGTTACGTCAAAGTTTCCTTGTAATTGTTTATTACGAACCAATTTCGAATGAAATTCTACTTCGGTGCTTGCGTTCTTTTTTATATCATGGAACTTGAATTACTTCGCTTCTGAATATTTTAGAAACCCTGATCCGACGGACGAAAGATATTTCAATGTTGTACTTTTCTTTTAGAGAGCATTTCAACGCTATATTGACGAATTTGATTTGGTTCACCCTGGTCCGTCAGACTAGCAATATTATGAAAATTTATCAACTCCGTCTAGTGTGACTGATAAATGTTTTAACTTTCATCCTTGACATGTTTCGGTCTTAGAGACCATCTTCAGAAGGACATATCAATAGGGGCATAAACTACCTACTATTACAATGTGATTGGTCAATATCAGTACATACATACAATATTATTACAATTCCATGAATATAAATTCTGATCCTTTAAGAACTACAGCGATATCCAATAATATATTAAAATATTTGTAACTTATTATAATTAGTTTGTTACAAATGTGGTTTAAAAAGGCTTTGTTAAAATTTAGAACCAATGTGGATCGTGTCCTTCACACTGCCTCTCTTTGAAAGAAGCTGAATGTCTGCCACGTCGTGGTTTCTTTGTTTGATGAACAGGACTTTTAATGTCGTCCTATTGTTGGACGGAGTTGATATCCTTTTATAACTTTACTGACGACGTTCGTGTTTGATACGAAATTCGCCCTTCATCAAGTAAAAGAGGCTGAAAATTAAATCGACTTACTTAGAAATTAGATCTCCAGTGGGCCCGGATCGGAGAAACAGGACGCGATAATCATCCAAACTTAATCATCTCCACGTGAAGTCTCTCTGTGCTGGCCCAACTGTAATGGAAGTTGAGGGATTATGGGATCCATGATTTATAACGCTTTAGCAGTTCTCGCAACAGAAAGATGGAAAAATAGCGAGTAAGCACGGGGTCGTGCATGCGGCCCCAAACTAAGGTGCCGAAGTGATGCATTGGATCGCGTGTCCCAAGCCCATCTCCTCCCTGCCTGCCTTCCCTCGTGCTTCCAAGGTGTTGGTTATATCGAATACTGGATCACTAAAAAAGATTAATAGTGGACGCACCACGAGGTGGGTTTTCTATACTTGTTTCATTGTGTGCCACTAAGATTTCTTTTCTTGACTTGACTCGATCAATCTACCGCAAGGCAGGTGCTGCAGAAAGTTATAGGGTGTTATGCGGCAGAGGACCTTCTCCTTATTCTTAGTCCACCTTGATTCCACAGTTGTACGAACATGTACTTACTGCGCCTTGGGTGTGCTGAATATTGCGATTCGAATAATGAGAACTTCCTCAAAGGCGTACGAAATTTTCACTGCAGAGAACACTCACATCGTGATGTACTAGCTTGTGATACAGAAAGAGGTAAAGTTGTCCCTGTGCTCAACGAATTAAGCACTACGACATGGAGGCGTATGGGGGAGTGGATGTATAAATCCATATGTTCTTGACCTCGGCACTAGCTGGAGGTAAGTGGCCAGCTTCATGCCCCTTTCACTTTACCCCCAGGGAAAGATACCCCGGTACCCACTGGATACGAGGTTGGGTGGACCCCAGAGCCGGTCTGGACGATTTGGAGAAGACAAAATTCTTGATCCTACCTAGACTAGAACTTCGATCCCTCAGTAGTCCAGCCCGTAAGCCAGTCGCTATACTGACTATGCTACCTTCGCTCCTGTAGCAGTCTGGTAGGTGGGTACAAACTTTCAGGGGGACATGCCTCTATGTTCACGGTAAAACCCTAACGACAGGGGCAGTATACTGCAAAGAAACAACTTCTCAGACGAACATATACGGACTGCCTGGGTTCAACTGAAGCAGTGTGTTCCTCCAAAGTGCTGGTACCTCCTGACATAAGCCTGCACACAGTAATATGGACTTCTGGAACCAGTTATAGTCCTGTAATACTCGAGTAATAATACAGTCGCCTTCAGAGGATATAAACTGTTAAAGGGAGGCTGGGAGTTTGGAGGGATTTCTTGCGGTAACAATTCATGATAAGACCGCAGTTATACCGCAGAAATTACTGAAATACTT